TATATATATATATATGTTAAGATAGGTGTATTTAAGAATAAATTTTTATCATTCCTATATTATAACATAAATGGATTAATACTAATAAGGCTATTTGTGCATGTGAAGGTGAAAGAGAAGGGTCTTATTATATTCCTGAATAAGAATTAAAGAGTGGAAAATAAGAGGTGGAGAATCTTGTCTGGAGTCTTGTCTTCAAAACTCCAAACTACTGCTACCAGTCGGTCGCACCACAGCTCACATGGATCTACGAACCACTTTGCCATTGCTCCCTTCTCTTAGCACTTAGCACTTAGCACTTAGCACTTAGCACTTAGCACTTAGCACTTAGCACTTAGCACTTAGCACTTAGCACTTAGCACTTAGCACTTAGCACTTAGCACTTAGCACTTAGCACTTAGCACTTAGCACTTAGCACTTAACATCATCAAATTCTCTTTCCTCAAAATCTTAACACTCTCTCACTGCTCTTTGCTTTGCACAACAAAACGAGGATGGATTATTTGAAGCAAAAGTTTCCCTTCCTCAAGCTTTTCCTCACCATCTTCTTCCTAGGCCTCGCTTTACGCATCCTCTTCTTCCACTCCCTTTCCCCCACTGTTTTGGAATCCCCATTTCCTCAGAAAGTCACACTAACCCAACCTCAAAACCCCCCTCTTAGTTCCACTCTTTCACCACATATTCCCCAACCCCCACCTGTTCCACAACATGTTCCCGAACCTCCACCTGTTCTCGAACATGTTTCCCTAACTCAACATCAACTCTCTCACACCGCAGACTCAGGTGAGTTTTATGTTTGCCTCTCATCTTTTAATCCCTTGTACAACTAAAATATACGCACGTCCGTTTAGATCTGCAATCCATAAATGCTCTTGTGGATCTTGTTTCTGATTATAGGCTATAGTACCATTTCAAGCTGAATGGTTATGTATCTTGCACATATGAGTCATACTATTTAGAAATTAGATATAATTTTCTAAATAATTATTATGGCAATTTATGATTACATGAAGTTTTATCTATGAACACGTAAATCAACTCACATGAGGTTGTTTCGTCATAGTTAGTGATCTCTAGTTCAAATTTAGATATGCAGCTCAATTACATACTTTGCCATCCATAATGATCTTACCTTACACGAATAAGATTGTCATTATTTGACTCAAATAAGATTGTCTTGTGCCTATAATAATACTTGTAGATTTTACCAAAATATTATATGAAAATGTACATTTTGAATTCTACATAAATTAGTTGGATTGTAGGTTAGGGATGTGAATGCTTGGTTCCAACTTGAATTTACCTGAATGCAGAGAAATGTGATTACTTTAGCGGGGATTGGGTTCCAAATCCGTCGGGTCCAGTTTACACTAATGATACCTGCGACCTCATTGAATCTCATCAAGATTGCTTGAAAAATGGGAGGCCTGACAGAGAGTTTCTGTATTGGAGGTGGGCTCCAAGAGAGTGTGATTTGCCTCAGTTTGATCCACAAAGGTTTCTCAACATGATGCGGAACAAAGCCTGGGCATTCATTGGCGATTCCATTTCCCGCAACCATGTGCAATCGCTGCTCTGCATTCTCTCCAAGGTATGTTTTTCACATACAAATATGCAATGAATGATTCTTCTTACTGACATGAAAGGTCTGTTTTCCCATTTGTCTGATCCTTGTGAATGTTTCTGTGAGGATCAGACAACTGCCTTTTGTACTTGTGTTTTTTTTTTGAATTGTGTTGGACAAGATCTTGTTTTTGGTGCCAATGCCAAACCTTGGAGGCTGGGTTTATGTACTTTGAACAATAAAATCAAGAATCTCTTGCTGTTTGTGTGAGAAAGCTTTCTGTTTGTGTAAGCAAATGATGGAATAGGCCTAAATGTTTAGTAAACAGTAATAACATGTTTATCAAGTACTTACAGGATTCAGCCTATGATTTAATGTGCGGAAAACTAAGTAAAGTCATTTTTTTTACTTAGCTTTGTGGTTGTGCATGCTCCCATTGCATCGGAATCTATCAGTGCCCTTATAGATCTGAGGCATAGAGATTTATATACTACGAGAATATTTGAAATCATTGCTTTTTGGCTCTGAAGTCATTGAGAGTAGCATCATTTTAGTTACAAGATTTGATGATCTATTGCTGGATGATTGATTTGAACTCCCTTTGAAATGATTATTCAGAGGGTTTGTAGTGAAAAAGTTTGTTGTTGAAACATACCTGTAGAAGATGCCAAAAAAAAGGAGAGTGAGTATGACTAATGGCATGAACAAGCTGGGTCTAGTTATTGATATTTGTAAAAAAGTCCATACACATATAGTTGCTAGTAGCCTTCTTCTCAGGCCTGAAAGCTGAAATCGCAACTTCTGTCTGGAATTCCCTTCTACTTCTGTTTCAGCTTTCTCAACACAAAACAATGCATTTATTTTAAATTCAAGACTTATGAGATTTAGTTCTCAGGGCGATCTCTCTTCCTTTTTGCTCTTTTAATTTTATTTCTTCATCATTTTGTGTCTACATTAGGTATATACATATGTCTCATATAGTAATAAATTCACTTTCTTAAATGATTGACTGTGTTATGAATGCTGGACTTTGCCACCACCTGTTTGGGCTGTCAATTGAAACATTTTTAATTTCATTAATCTATAATTAGGCATAAGAGAAGCATACATTTTCATATAGTTTGTAGCATAATATATTTTAGAAATTATGATGGCCTATATATACTGTTGTTACTTATTACTCCCAGCAATCATTGGAAGAGGAGTAATTCACTTCAACCATTTTGTCCTTCAGGTGGAACAACCTGTCTTAGTCTACCACGACGAGGAATACAAGTCCAAAAGCTGGAACTTCCCCTCATACAACTTAAGCGTGTCAGTTATTTGGGCACCATTCCTTGTGGAAGCTGCTATTTTTGAAGACATAAACGGTGTTTCGAGTTCTGAAGTTGAGCTACATCTCGATAAACTGGATAGTAAATGGACGGATCAGTATCTCGACTTTGATTACATTATTTTTTCAACTGGGAAATGGTTTCTCAAATCTGCAATCTACTATGAGAATGACACTATGTTGGGCTGCCACTCGTGTCCCAAAAGGAACCTGACGGAGCTGGGGTTTAACTTCGCTTACCGCAAAGCCTTGAAATTTGTGATGAACTTCATAGTGTCTTCCACTCACAAGGGGATGATTTTTTTCAGGACATTCACTCCTGATCATTTTGAGAATGGGGAGTGGTTTAGTGGTGGAACTTGCAATAGAACAGCACCAATTAAGGAAGGTGAGATGGAGATGAAATATTTGAACAAGATGCTTCGTGACATTGAGTTAGAGGAGTTTGCAAAGGCAGCATCTGAAGCTTCAAGAAATGGGGTGAATTTTAAGATTGTGGATTTTGCTTCACTTTCACAATTGAGACCTGATGGGCATCCTGGTCCATACAGGCAATTTCATCCATTTGAAAAGGGCCAAAATGCTAAAGTGCAGAATGATTGTCTGCATTGGTGCTTACCAGGGCCTATAGACTCTTGGAATGATATAATAATGGAGATGGTTGTGAATGGGTGAGAAAATGAGTTAAATTGCCCATACAGTTGTGAATATTGATGAATTGTTACACTCTCTATACTATGATTCTTGATATTCATATTCATACAGAAGGACATTGGAGATTGGAGGCAAATAAATTGAATGTAGCACAGAGGATTCTAATCTTGATATGGAAGTGCATGGGCATGAAATTCTGTTTTCTTTGTCTCCATTTTGGTTTGACGGGCCATCCGTGGTTATTTGAGGCAACTATAGTTCTATCTTTTTCCATTTTCTTGTAATATATAGTATTTGATGAGTTGTGTTGTGTTAAACAACTCAAAAAGGAAAAATTAATTCAATTAGATTTGAGGCTGGTTGTTGGATAAGACAAAATGTCGGGGATTACTTTTATTTTATTTGTTTTTAACTGAATAAATATGTCAAATTATCCACGAGATGCGGTTTTCGTTTGGCTGGCGATTTGCGTGTGCAGTTTTTATTTTTTGTCCTGGGCCTGAGATAAATAGTTTAAATATAATTGTTTCATGTCTTATGTGAAAAAATATCATAAGATAAAACAAATTAAGAGAGATGGATGAGAATAAACATTTTTTTTTACTCAACAATTTATATAATAACCTTTTGTCATTGATACAAAATACTCGACAAGATAATAATACATTATACATATGCTTACTCAGTAATGAATTGAGAAATTTTAAGTTGTAAAAATAATAAAACAATATTTATACATAAACGTGTAACATTAAAAATATTAGATATTGGTTTCAAAAATAAATATATATTAGAATTATTTTCTATGATTTTTTATATTTATCGTTACAATTAAAATTAATATGATCACAATTAATTTAATCATGATATTATATTTTTATAATATAAGATTGGAATGACATAGAAAAATACTATATTTATAAAAAAAATTAACTTTTAACTGATCTATCTAATTAAAAAAAAATAGCAACATTACATTGATAAAAAAAATGTAATATTTACAATAAAATGTCACTCTTTATCAAAATTTGATATTTTTTAAGGCTTAAATATTTTTCTAATTCCTTGAATTTACAATAAACTTATTTTTGGTCTCTTATATTTAAAATTATTATTTTTAATTTTTGTAATTTTTTAAAATTTTGTGTTATTTTCTCGTATTACCAATAACATATTTGAAAGTGACAGATTAAGATAGTTATATAATATTAGTTAGGTTAAATTTAATGTTTTCATTAATAAGGATACCAATAACTAAATTTTGTGTAACAGTATTTGACAGATTCAAAAAAAAAATGAATATAAGAAGTAAAATAAGATTTTTTGAAATTACAAGAATTAAAATAACTAGTTTTAAATTTTAAGGGATTAAAAATAAATTTAACTTAAATTTGAAAGTATAAAAATATGTTTAATTTTTTTAATATATATATATATATATATGGACATATTATGATATAGTATATATATTATATTAAAAAAATTAAATTAAGTTTGTTTATATGCATGTTTATTTTTATCAAATTATATTATTTATGGACACTGATAGACATTGTAATAGTGTGTGTATGTATCGTGTAAAAGATAACGTATATTTGTTGTTGCGGTTACTTCCTCCTTAATGATTATATATTCGATGCCAAGTGAATTTTTTTTTTATATATATAGAAAATAGGTTAAGTCAGGACTTTTATTAAATTTTATATAGTTTAAAAAAATTTATACTTTAAGCTTGTTTGACAGATTCACTTATTTAAGAAAAGTAAATAAATAAATATTATTATATTAAATTTGTTACAATATATTAAAATCGTATATTTTTCTTAAAAAATATTAAATATATTAGCTCAAATAAAGTGTGAAGCTAATAAATTTATGAAAAGATAAATTTGTGTTTTATCTAGAAGTCTCATGCAAAATAGCTTTTTTTGAATATGTTATTATCGTGAATGTCAAATTAGACTTTAAAAATATGTTTATATCATATAAACAAATTGAACTCATTTTTTTTAATAAAATTTAGAATATATATTTTTATTTTTATTTTAGTGCCAAATTATTATAAAATAAGTTCTTAAACATAGGCTTATGGTAGATAAACTAGTTTAGATTCAAAACATATATTCCTAATCAAGGCTTTTACTTATATTTAACAAAGATCAACATGACTTACCTATTTTATTCCTAAGTGTTGTATCATCGTCACTGTCAACACTACCCTAGAGTGTATTATAGTGGTTGTTGATGTTATTAACACTACCACTACATACCACCGCCATCATTATTACAATTACTACCGATGTTATTACATTAAAATAATTTATATGAATTGTATTAAGATAATCGGTATTATGAAGAGTAACATAATAAATTTTATATTATTTTATTTGTGTCATTTGTTCACCACCAAATAAAGCACATGATAAAATATTAACTTATAACTTGAAGAAAATTTGTCTAATGTTCTCTTTGTATTATACCTTAATATATATTATTTTTTATCTTAATTATAAATAACAATCATTGATTTTAAGGTTACTGAAACTTAAAATTATTTTATATCTTTCATTTATTGTTAACTTCATTTCCTATGTATTCACTTATAAATAATATTAAATATAACAATCACTTAAAATAAAAGATATGTTTGAAATATTATTTAAATTTATGATATAATTAATTAAAAGTAAATATATTAGTTGAGTTTCTTAGTCTGAATGATTTGTAATTAGAACAAGAGGACAAAGGTGGTGTTAAATATACCTATAAAAAAATAAAATATTTATGAGTTATTACCTTAAATGTGTAAATGAAATAAATTTAAATCCAAAGCAACTAAGATCTAAACACGCTATATATTTATTTTGAAAAATATAAAAATTTATAGATTTCAAGTTTGTATAATATACTTTTCTCCTCATTTTATAATGGATCTTGCTAATAAATACCATATTAATTAAAATATATAAAAAAAATTATAATTAAAAACTATGATAAAATTGCGAGTGTGTTTGATAAGACATTTAAAAAATTTATAAATTTCTTTGATTATTGATGTAAATATATTTATTGTGCGAATTAGTTGAAGTATCTTATAACTTATAAATTATTAAATTTTATTTTATTTTTATTAGTTTATTTGAATTTTTTTAACTTGTAATTTTTTTCTTTAGTTTAGAAACACTTTTAGATGTAATCATTCTTTCATTTTTATTATAAAAATTATTTTATTATTTTATATTTATCAACTAACTTATCAATTAATATTATTAAATGTTTTCGATTCAATTAACTAGTTATGGATGTTTCAATGAATCCAAAATATACAAAGACAATGAATTATATATAAAAAAAACTACTTATAAATGTTTCTAGCTTTTTATCTTATTAGCATTTTATTATAATATATTTTCAAGTAATTTATAAGTAAATTTTACTAAACACATGTGCATGAGAGAGTGTTGTTAGAAAAAAAATAACTTTTGATTTCTTCGATAAAAGAGTGTCGTGCTTTTTTTTTTTTTAACATTAAAAATGCCGTGTTTAAATGACTTTTACGTAATTTTTATACAAAAACAAGTTACCTTTGTCTTTTTTTTTTTTTTTTTTTCCCTTAGTAATAGCCATTCCTTTCAAAATCAAGCAGTAATGTATCCAATTATACGTTTTCTTTCTTTCTTTATTTATTTATATTATCATTTAGCTTAATGTTCAAAATTATCCGTAAATAGTTAATTTTCTGAATCTTTAAAAATAAAAAATTGCCGCGTAAATAGTTAATCCTTGAAAAAGAAAAGATTGCGTTTGTCTCATTCAAATTTAAAAAATCAGACCGTTGCATCAACGGAACACAGAACAGTGCTATAAAAACCCCTTCTCTTAGACAAACAATACGCACTCTCTTGCATTTCCCTCTCTTGCATCATCAATGGCTGACGCAGCTGCTGAAGTAGTAGTCCCAAAGAGGGGAAGGGGCAGAAGGCCCCTGAAGGATAAAACAACAACCCTACTCACATCTGATGATAACAAACAGGACTCCAAGAATCACCAATCTTTCGAGAAAGAATTGCTCCACATGCAGGAAATGCTTCAGAAAATGCGTCTCGAGAAGGAGCACACAGAAGAGCTCTTGAAGGCCAAAGATGAGGCTCTCAAGCAGAAGGAACAAGAACTCAAAAAATTGCAGAAGCTCAAGGAGTTTAAACCTACCCTCGTGAGTTCACTTCATCTTCTATCTTTTTATTGTAAAGATTTTTTATTTTTGTCAAGATTTTTACTTGTGGTTCTTTATGGTTTCAATTTTGTTGGGATCTCTGCAAAATTGCGGACAATTGTGGCCGATCTGGCCCCAATTGCGATCATTAGGGTTGATAGATCCAAAATTATTGACGTTGGCGAAGGTCTTGTTTTTAAAATTATTTATGTGTGTATTTCTATCTCGGTTGGTGTAGAATTTGCCTGTGTTGAAAGATAATGAACAAAAGAAGGATAAGAAGAAGAAAGGGTGCTCCGAGAAGAAAAGGCCTTCTCCACCTTACATTTTGTGGATGAAAGACCAATGGAATGAGGTAAAACAGAAATCATTTGGTTTTTTTTTTTTTTTTGGTTAAATTCAATGTTTTTTTTTTAATTTATTGATGGCTTCGCGCAGATCAAGAAAACGAACCCTGAGGCAGAATTTAAGGAAACTTCTAACATGTTGGGGGCTAAATGGAAGACTGTTAGTGCAGAAGAGAAGAAGCCTTATGAGGAGAAATACCAAGCTGAAAAAGAAGCCTATTTGCAAGTGGTTGCAAAGGAAAAACGTGAGAGTGAGGCAATGAGGTTGTTGGAAGAGGAGCAGAAGCAGAAGACTGCCATGGAATTGCTTGAACAGTACATGCAATTCAAACAAGAGGCAGAAAACAAGGGCAAGAAGAACAAGTAAATTATATGCCCCTTTCGTTTTTTTTTCATTACTATGTTTTTGTGTGATACTGTGATAGTTATCCTCTTCTTAGCTTGAGGTTGTTGATGTTGGTGTTGTATCTTCACAGAAAGGAGAAGGATCCATTGAAACCAAAGCACCCCATGTCAGCTTATTTCATGTTCACTAATGATAGGCGACCAGCTCTTGCTGCTGAGAACAAGACAATGTTGGAGGTAATTGCGTGTCACCCTTATTTGTGACCTATGAGTTGATTAATCATGATAGAAGAGACACATATAATAAGGGTTTGGTTCTTTAATTCAGGTTACACAAATCACAGCTGAAGAGTGGAAAAAGATGATAGACGATGAAAGGAGACCCTATGAAGAGGTTTGCTCCTTTGGTCTCTCAATTCTCATATACTATTATACCCTTCTGTCGAGTCATTTATAGGCATGCATTCTTACTAATTATTTATTTTGTAACTCTCAGATGGCAAAGAGGAACAAGGAGAAATATGTCTTAGAAATGGAAGCCTATAAACAGAAAAAAGAAGAGGAAGCTGCCAATCTCATGAAGGAAGAGGAGGAGCATATGAAGCTTCAGAAACAAGAAGCCTTGCAACTCCTTAAGAAGAAGGAGAAAACTGAAAATTTAATCAAGGTTTTCCTTCTATATCAATTTAGTCCTTATCTTTTTGTGTTTTATTATTTTTCATTGATGCTTATCCACCCAAGCATGGTGCAGAAAACAAAACAGAAGAAGCAAAACAAGGAGGATAAGAATTCTGATCCAAACAGGCCTAAGAGGCCTCCATCCTCGTACCTCTTATTCAGGTGAGATTTCAATTTGAAAGTTACAAGAAATTGAAAGAATGCTATGTATGTGGTGTTTCTGAGATACAACAATGCAAAAACTATATTGTGTACAGCATAGAAGCAAGGAAAAGTTTACAGGAGGAGAGACCAGGAATCAACACCTCAACCCTGAATGCACTTGTTTCCTTGAAGTGGAAGGTAAGTGTTGCACTATAGCTTCTTCAACATTTCATTTTTGCATAACAAAACAATCACTTACATATTTCTGGTGCAATTTGGTTATTAGGAACTGAGTGAGGAAGATAGACTAATCTGGAATGTGCAAGCATGTAAAGCAATGGAATCATACAAGAAGGAATTGGAGGAATACAACAAATCCCTTGCGGCAACTTCAACTGCAATCCAGGAGCAGAAAACCGAAGAATGAAAAAGATCCCCGTGGGCAGCATGTTCAAAGTTGATTTGAATATGCTTTCAAATTTAGTCGCTAGTGATGTTTTACTTCATTTTTTTAGCTGTATTTTTTCTTTACACAAGTTGTAAAGAAAACCGAATAACATAATGATGCTTTCATGCCTCTTCAATTTAGTTTGGTATCATCTTGAATTTGCCCTCAGTGTTTCATACTAGTTTTTTTTTTCATTTGCTCACGTTTTTTTTTTCTTTTTTCATAGACAACACGAATAAAAATTACAGAAAGTTCTAGGTTGTGTCTTGTTCCCAAGTCCCAACTTAAGATGCGGTACAAATCGAGCTGAACGTCAGAATTGTAAGTAAATCCCAGCGTACTTTGACGGAGAAAATTGGTTTTGATTCAATTTGAACATCCAGATATTGTTTGGTTTGATTGTTTTCAAGAAAACAGAAAATAGTATTAAAAATATGTATGGGTTAGATTGTTAAAAACATTTTCATTTGAAAATATTTTAAAAAATAAGTAAACAACTGAAAATTGAATGTTTATTCCAAACGCTCATCCAAACATGCATTACATACTATCTTTCGATAAGAATGTGACATATTCCTCATTTATAATATTTTATATGCTGTGTATTTTTTTTAGTCCTAATATAATAATTTTAAGAGTAAAAATATTTGAGTTAAAAATAATTAAAAGTATTTAATTAAATTGAGTTTAAAGTGTGCATAAATTATGTTTGCATGCTAATTACATAAAATTATCTTCAATATCTCTCACGAATCATAACTCATACAAGTAAATACCTTGTGTAGTTTTTAGTAAATCCGTTATTCCTTCATGTGCAAGTTGAGAACTTATTTTTATGAAATGTAGAAACATGTTTAATAATAAAATTTATTAAAGTATATTCAAAATTTATAATTATTAAAATGCAAATAGATTATTTTAATACTTAAAAATATAATTATTTTAACTAAAAATATATATATTTTTTTAAAAAGCTAAAACTAGAATATTTGGTTCTTGAATTTTTATAGATTTAATATATCATTTGGTCATTAAATTTTTGATATTTTTTAATTAAATCCTTAAACTAAAAAAATTGCAATTGAATTTTTTATTTTTCACGATTTTTGTAATCACATTCCTAAAATAAGTAAAATTGTCACAAATTGTTATTTTTGTAACGATTTCAAAGTTTAGGGACTTAATTAAAATTTTTCAAATAATTTAGGAACTAATTGATATATTAAACCTTTTTAATAAAAAAATTTACAATAATGTTTAAAAACATCTTACATTAAATTAAAAATAAAGATTAAGGATTAAATTATATAAATTTTATTTATTTTCATCGTGGTTGGTCATTAAACTTGAGACCTTCATTATATATTAGAGTTGTTAATTTGAGTTCGTTTCGATGGGTCGATTTGGTCAATCTACAAATAAGGTCAAGTTAAACCTTAAAAAGGATAGTTTACATAAAATTAAGCCATTTTGACTTAACCCATTGAGCACAACAAGCAAAATGAGCTTAGGTCAAGCTATCCCATAAGCTTACAAGCTGACCTATTAAATTAATAAGTGAACAAATTTGAATTATCATCAATTTGTAAATATGAAATGTATTATAAAATAATAGAATAAAATATAATATAATTTATATCAATAATAAAGGATTTAGGGTGTAGTTTATAAAGTTGTAGTTACAAGCTTAGAGTGAGGATTAACTTATGACTTGACCTTATGACCTATTATCTCTGTTCTGTTTGTCGTAGAAGACGAAGATGTAATCATGCTTGTACTCACGAAGTCACAATAAAAGTAAGAGTAAGGGTATTAATGAAGAAGACTAAGATACTACAAAAGGCTAAGAAAACTAAGTTTAATACCTTTAAGGTATAAAATTATTATGAAAATGTTAGTTTAGTTGATGAGATGGATAAATGCAAATGCAATGGTTGTGCTAAATTGTATACATGTAAAACTATTAAGTATTTCATGACAATATATAGTATCAATTAATCATGTTATAAAAAAAAAATTCATTGAAAAAAATATATTTAATTTTTAAAATATATATTTTTTAATTAGGTCAATTTGGCATGATGACTCAACATGGGTCAGGTTGGACTAAAAAATTATAGCTAGAAAAAAAAAATATATGGACCAGACTAGCTTAACCTAAAATAACATTTGATTCGTGTAGGTCAGATTGTATTAAGCTCGCTCGATCTATTTGATAACTCTATTATATACCCAATTTTTATTAAGTCCAACACATGAACATTTTAATAGAGTTGAGTTCATTTGGGTGCCTAAATGCTTATTACAAAGCAACAACAAAAATATACTTTTCTATGGGGACAGAGTATGACTTTAGCAAAATACCATGCTATTACCATGTTGCTTATACCAAGATTATCTTACCTTGGCAGAGTATTAGACTTCTTAGTTTAAGTGGTGACACTTGAGAAATCAAATTAAGTTATTAAACAGATTCTCTAAGAGACCTAAAGTTGTCTATACCTGACCTATTTGTGATTGGTCAAAAGTTGTAGTTTAGGGTCTAACACTTAAATTGTTCACCTTTGTTGTAGAAAATCTCAATAATTGATATGTGTGATGACACATTTGTTGTTTATTGTAGCTTATGTTGAATATGTTGTTAAGTTGAAGTAGATAAGTTGTATTACATTGATAAGTTGTTTATGTAGTAATTGATGATATATAAGTGAAACTGTGTGGTTGATGAATGTTGTTGCTAAGTTGTTATTTATTGCTTTTGATTATGTTGATTTCTTTCACAAACTTATCCTTGCTTGTTTTTCTTGTGATTAAAATTGCAACAATCATATTTTGTATGAGTGTAACGTAGAATTAGCAAGTTGGCATGTCTAACTATTGGAGGGTCATGTTGTGATGGCCTCTTTTGGTGGTGTCACTTTAATGTGACACAATTGTTGTATAAACACTTGACTAGCAACTAGGGTTCTTCTGTAAATAGTTATATAGACTTTATATTTTGACAGGGTATGTATATAACCCTATAAGGGAATTTTATATTTGAAAGTTTTATGTTTTTGCCCGATACATGTATAAGTGACATGGATGACTAGCTAACTGTTGCATGAAAACTCTAGGTTAGTTGATGTTGTCTATTTTTTCCACTACATTGAGATTGAACTATAGTAAGCATAGTAATTTGTTGAGTTGATATAATTCTAAACTTAAGTTGTAGAAGATATAGCTTAAGTATATGAGAGTTGGCTTGATGAGAGTTGAGTTTATAAGGTGGATTCTTAGAAATAAACTTCATAAGTTCATGACTCTAAAATTTTATAGAAAAGTTAAAGAGAGGTGTTTTGGAGCTAACGGAATCCGACCTTTGATTCAATTCCACAATAAGATCTTTTTTCTTCCCTTGATCGTTAGTTGATGTCATAGAAGCTAAGGAACTAAGAATCTTAGAGAGAAGTCATTGTATGAGATTCGGGGTTTTCAAGTTTTCTTCCATTATTCCTTGTTTTATTGAAGCAATCGAGGTAAGGGAAGTTTATAGTTTGATTCTTTCAAGTTGTTGCATGTTGTATTTGTTGTTAATTTTCCCATTGGTGGCTTGATTTGTTATTTTTGAGGTAGTTGTTGATGATGGTAAAGTTGGGCTTTTGGATTGATGAACCAAAACTCAAAATTGATGGTTTTTTTATTTAATAATGTTGCATGTTGAATTTAAGGTTGGATTTGTGTAATCTAAGTATTTTAGAATCATTTCTATTTGGATTTTAATTTTCTTATCACTTAAGTTGCTCATAACATTATAAAATACTTGAAATATCATAATTGAATCTAATTCATAACATGTTATATGTTGATATATAATGTTGATTTAAGTTGTTAAAGTTGAAAGTTGTTTATAACCTTAAGTTGCTTAAGTTGAAAGTTGTTTACTGTTAAAGTTGTATGATGATGAGTTGTATGAACATCTAGTATTGAGATACACGTTGAAGTTGAGATACATAAAAAATCATAGAAGAATAAAATTGTTTTAGAAATTAAAGTATCCCATTATGTGGATATAGGTTATGGTGCTCTCAGAGCCTAGAGTTGAAAACTCTTCAATGAGTAAGTTGACTCCTAAATGGATAGTTCTTTTTAAGTTGTCTCATTTGGGTTTTATGTAGAATCATATGGGGATCGGTTGAACCATATGTATATAAAGTAACCAACTAAGTAAGATATGAAGTCGATGGGCAATGTCCTTAACTTATTGTTGGAAAGGTACATAGTATTTGAAGGATAGTCGATGAACTAATTCCATATAAGACTTAGATATGCACGCTAAGGTCGTGATAAACTTACACCCAAGTTATTATACTTTGATAGTAGTACTATACTTTCCTAGTTTAAGTGACAAAACCTAAGAAACTAAAATAAATTGTTAAACAGGTGCTCAAGGAGGTCTGAAATTGTCCATGCTTGACCTAGAGAAGACAAGTTAGACATTGTGATTCGGCAGGGTCAAGTCATTTAGACTGTTCACTTTTGTTGTAGAAGATTTCCATAAGTTGATACATTTGATGATGCATTAGTTGTTTAAAGTTGTTTGTGTTGTGATTAAAGTTGTTTATGTTGTTCATGTTGTAAGTTGTTCAGTTGTATATGAATTGAATATAAGTTGTTTATTCAGTTTCCTTGTTGATTTTGAGTTGTTTAGTTGATTATCCTCAGTTGTTCTCAATTGTTAAGTTGTGAGATGATCTTGAAGTTGAGTTATGCTTTTAAGTTGAAAAACTAATCCATTTCTTTAAGTTGTTTATATCGATGAAGTTGTTACTTCTTTACTTGATGATCGTTGTTTTCTTTCACAAGTTTACCCTTACATTTCCATGTTGTTGGACTATAATAATCATACTTCGTATAAAAGTAAGATAGGATTAGGTTGGAAAGCATGCTTGGTGGATAACCATGTTAGAGATAACCTTGTTTTTGTTGTGTTGTTCTAATACAACAATTGTGTATAAAGATGCTTGTCCGATGCTAAGGTTTTATGCTTTTAGTATGCTTTACTAGATGTATACTTATATATGTATAGAGTTTATTATAACTTCATAAGAGATTTTATATTTTAAAGTCAAAATTAGCAGAGACTATTGCATAGATATCAAAGTATTGTTGCATGATAATCTTAGTTTAGTAAATTTTTTTGTATATTTTGATG